AAAATCCATTTATCACTGGATAGAAAGAGCCAATTTGAAAGTAGGAAACCCTCAGGCACGGAATATACCCTCAACAAAAAATTGAGGCGAGCTCAGGAAAGTTGTTGGGACCAAGAGCTCCCTCTTGTGCATTACAGCAAGAGCAGAAGGTCCATGCCTCCGCAGGTCCCACCTTGGGGCCGTGCAACATGGGCAGCACCAGTGAAGCAAGGGCACCCTGCAGTGGGTGTCCCCGAGAGCCGCAGGCATGTCCCCACCTTGGTCGAGGCAGGGTGGAAGCACGTTTCTGAACTGTAAAAACTCTTTGCAGCCTTTGCGATCGTGTTTATTTCACTAGATTTATTTAAAAAAAAAAAAAAAAAAGAAAGAAAAAAAAAAAAAAAGGAAAACCCCCACAGAACTGACATTTTGAAACCAATTCTTATCAGTTTGACCTCCTTACTTACAAATATATTTTTAAAAATAATGTTGAAAATCAAAGTATATTTTCACGAACACAGTTCACAAATTCTTTTGGTCATTAAGACTTGAGGCTCTGCAAGAGTCCTTGTGGGATATTTCAGAAGGCAACAAGGGTCACAACTTTCCCAATAATCTCCCTTCTGGTTCCATCATGGCCAGCTCCTTGTACTGCAGCAGCTCTCAACCTCTTCCTCTGTGTGGAAATAGAGTAAATGCCTAATTTTGGATGCAGTTACATCTATTTTTCATCTAGAATGCTTATTTAAATGTGTTATTTTCTTGGGGTGTCTTGTCTGGATGTGTTTTTGCTTTTATATAATCAACTACCACAAGCATAGGCCATAGTGCACTGACTTTTGAGACACAAACAAGCTCATTTCTTGCTCACTGCAGTTTTGAAAGCATGAGAACAGAGGTTAGAAAATGCACTGACCCTTAAAAGAAAGGATAAATTCAAGCAGTTTTAAGGTCTGGTGATTTTTTCCTCCACAGCATGACTTTGCACAAATCACACTGAAGCTGTGGGCTGAAGCTGTGTTAGTAGTTAGTATACTTGACTGCACTTCAAGTGTTTGCTGGTGCCGAAGTTGTTCAGGGCAGGTTCCTCAAATATGAAGAACAGTGAAAAGGAAGACTAACTTGTATTATAACCTATTATAATGGCTTATTTTAGTAATTTTAATCTATCAAAAATTGAGTACTGGATTGGTAATTAAGCAGGAATTAATATCTGGATATTGAGGTCTGTTATTTATGTAAAATCTGCCAAAGCAAGCCCAAAGCAAACATTTTTAAAGCGGAGGTACTCAAAATGGTGAAGCTTGACCATGCTAGGTGAGTTTGAGTAGCAAGATGAAGCATATTGTGGAATGTACTTTAAATAAGAATTAAATGAAAACAGTAAAGTGGATTTTTTTATACTGTTATACATAACTAGATTTCTGGAAAGGTATGACAGCCACACAGACTAAAGAATTTTATGAAAACACCTTTCAAGACCTCCAGTTTTGATTGCATATAAAGACTGTAAAGGTGAAGAACCGCTTTTTCTGTTTTACTATGCAAATAACAGGAAATGTTATTTCAGCTAAAAGACCTGGTTTTACCTGCCTGAAATCCACAGGCATATCTACAGCCTCTAATATGGGCAAAAGATCTCTTAACTACCTCAGGAGAAAAGATTTGGCACTTGTCTCAGCTACTAAGCAGAGAAGTACAGACACCTGAGTTTCCTCTGCTTTGCAGGTTTCTTCAGTCTTTCTGCAGCTGCTTCCATGTGTGTTTCTGAAGAAATTAACTACCTGTACTACTATAGTTCATTAGCGTTCTTCAGGAGAGCATGTTTTAATTAATGCCTGCTCAAGAAACACTTGCCATTTGAGTATTATTTTCCACAGACAGAAAGTGGCAACATACACTTACAAACTTGAAGTCAAACCAATCTAACAGTGAAATGAATCCTTGTTCTTTCTAGTCTTTGACTGAGAACTATGTTCTAACTTTACACACAAGGTAAAAAAGCAAATAAAATTACCTAGCTATGCACGTATGTTTGGGGAAGGTTGTAATTCAGAATTCTGCTTTCTGACAGAGAAAAAATGATAAAGATTTTTCTCAAGCAAGAACTATGCTGAAGAGTATCTGAAACGGAATCTCACCCTCATCAAATAGGTTGTCCAGTAAGAAAAGAGAACTCTTCATATGACTCCCTCTAAAATACATTTATTGGACTCATTTGTGGTTTAACATGCAATATTATTTGTGCAGTAAGATAATAAAGAAAACGTGAAATTTTATTATTTCACAAGCAGAATGGCTACACATGGAGATAGAACAATGAAAACTGGAAAGAATCTGGTACCAGCAGCACCAGCAAACTGGAAAACTAGGAACCTGATTAATATTTTAATTCCTTGTCAGGATTGCCAATTTTTAACTTGCTAACTCAAGGAAAATTATAATGAAATCAACAACTACAAAGGCATATGTAATGTTCTTCTAAAAGAGGAAAGCTCAAATCTTTAATGTTAAAAATTAATACATAGTTCCATATATCATTTAGGGAATTGGATATCACTGTGACCGGTTGTTTAGGAAATGGACCAATTAAGTCAGTTTCAAGCTTCAAAAGCAGTAAGGATTTTCATAAGCAGTCCATGTTGCTAGTAGTTCTTAATCACTATCAATCATTATAGCTACATATACAAGTCCTTAGCAAATCTATCCCAGAAGAGCTGCAAGCACAGAATACATTGGAGCTGATGCTGGGCTGTCAGTGCTGATGGCTGCACTCCATGGTGGTCCTTACTTACCAGGGACAAGGTGATCAGGCCTGAGAGCTCCTTGCAGGCCGTTTGCCATTTTTCTTCTTTAATCAGTTGGTTTTTTCTACTCTCTGCCCCCGATCCAAAAGAAAAGGAAGTGATCTCGTCTGCTCTTGATGACTTATTTTGGGGATTGAGACATGTCCTGGGTCTTATTCTGACGGAGCCACCAGACACCTTTCTCGTCTGCTCTGCAAGATTATCTTGGTTTTACCAGGCACCTTTCCCCTTCTGCTTTGTTGTTTGGTTATTTGGTGACAGATTTCTAATTGTGACTTCTTAAGTAAGCTTGATTTTGCCTGTTCAGTGAGGCTTTAAGAAAATAGCTGGAAAGACTGAACTAGGAAACGATAAGTTGTCCAGGATCACTTCAGTTGCTGTGAAAAAGCATAGTGTGGGTCTTCCTGAAGTGTATTTCTTGCCACATGAAGGAGAAGGTGATCAGGAACGCTCTGCACACGCATACAGGTCCTACAAAGCTGTCATCACTGATTTAAGTAAAATGGCAGAAGCTGCCTCCTATGGCACCGGTTTTTGAGCTATCTCAGCTGTCAGCCAACACTTAAAGCAGTCTGAAATAAAAACCACTGTGTTCACATGAAAACAGCAGAGGGTTAATTGTAGGTGGCTAAGGCCTGCCTCAGAGGTGGAATGGATGCTTGGTAAAGTATCTGCCATCTCACTTTAATCCACACCTGCAAATCTGTCAGAGCCTTCAAGGTGTGAACTTTGGGTGCTCCTGTCCTGTGAAATCCGCAGTCCCCAAACAGATGCCCAGGCTTCTCATACAGCCCTGAGAATGAAATTCATGGGCTCCACAAGGGGTCAGCTGGTTGAGGCCAGGGGATTTTGAAGCAGCATCCCAGCCTGGTGGCCCCTTTTGGCACTGGCTGCTCCACGGGATGTGGAATGGGAGGCCGGACTTACCCTGTCACAAGTTCGTTTGCCTGCCTGGGCGACCAGAGTGGAGTTTTCTTTTAACTACTTTTCATTGATTTAATTATTTATTTTATTTTATTGATTTAATTATTTATTTTATTTTTACTACTCTGCCCAATGGGGGTGCTGGTGGATGAGAAGCTGGACATGAGCAGGCAGGGTGCACTTGCAGCCCAGAAGGCCAATCGCATCCTGGGCTACATCAAAAGATGCGTTGCCAGCAGGTCCAGAGAGGTAATTCTGCCACTTTACTCTGCTCTGGTGAGACTTCACCTGGAGTATTGTGTGCAGGTCTGGAGCCCTCAATATAAGAAGGACATGGACCTGATGGAGAGGGTCCAGAGGAGGGCCACGAGGATGATCAGGGGGATGGAGCACCTCTGCTACGAGGACAGGCTGAGGGAGCTGGGGTTGTTCAGCCTGGAGAAGAGGAGGCTCCGGGGAGACCTAATAGCAGCCTTCCAGTACCTGAGGGGGGCCTACAGGAAGGCTGGGGAGAACCTGTTTAGAAAGGCCTGCAGTGACAGGACAAGGGGCAATGGCTTCAAGCTGGAGGGGAACAGATTTAGACTGGAGATTAGGAGAAAGTTCTTTACTGTGAGGGTGGTGGAGCACTGGAACAGGTTGCCCAGGGAGGTGGTTGAGGCCCCTTCCCTGGAGATATTCAAGGTGAGGCTCGAAGAGGCCCTGGGCAACCTGGTCTAGTTGGGGGTGTCCCTGCTGACTGCGGGGGGGGTCGGACTAGATGACCTTTGGAGGTCCCTTCCAGCCTGGACAATTCTATGATTCTATGATTCTATGATTTTCCACAGAACTGAAAATTAATATACGGATGATGGTTATCTTTGATTTCTTCTTCTGAATCTCTTTGATGTTGTGAAAGTAACTCAGTGTTTACCGGAGTGCAACTTACAGCCGACATTCCGGTGAGCACTTTTAATCAGTATTTTATCTCTCCAGAGGCCGGTGGAGCAAAACGCCAGGACGGGGAAGGCTGAGGGGGTGCCGGGAGGGGCCCGCCCGCCATTGCAGCTCCGGCTGCTGCCTCGTGGGTGGCGGGGGACCGTTCCACCGGCGGGTGAGAGCGTCCAACGAGAGGCGACCAGACCGGGGACGCGAACCCTCAACCCCGGGCTCCGGGACACCACCGAGACCACGCCCCTGCGTCGAGACCACGACTCTTTCCCCGCCCACTATCGCGGGACCACGCCCCCTTTCCTCCTTCCCGCCGCACACCACGTCCGCACACCCACCCGGAAGTACTCCCGGAGGGCGGCGGCGCCCAGCGCGGGTACTTCCGGGTGGCAGCGCGTTTTTTTTCCCCTTCGGCCTCTCCGCCACGCCGCCGCCTTCCCTCGCCGCTGGGACGCCCGCTCCCCACCCTCCCCTTCCCCGGCTCCCTCTGCTTTCCCCCCCGCTCGCCTCTTCCCGTCCCGGGCCATGCCGCTGCGGGGTTCCCGGCCCGCGGGGCCGTGGGGGCGGCTGTTGCTTGTGGTGGCGCTGGCGGCCTGCGCCGCCCGGGCCTCCGAGATCACCTTCGAGCTGCCCGACAACGCCAAGCAGTGCTTCTACGAGGAGATCGCCCAGGGCACCAAGTGCACCCTCGAGTTCCAGGTAGCCACCGCGTCCCACACACCCCACCCCGCTGGCGGAGCTGGGCTCCGGCCCGGCGAGCGGTGGCCGAGAGGCCTGTTCGCCCCGCTGGGCCTTCCTGGGATGCTGCGAACAGTCCCGGGAAGCGGCGGCTGGGCCGGGAGCGCCGGGGCCTTCCCGCGTCGGGGGGAAGGAGGCGGTGGGCGCTGCCGTGGGGCCTGCGGGAGCGGCCGGGGGGGGTTTGGTTCCGGCGGGGGGTGGCGTTGGGCCTGGCAGCCGGCGGTGTCCCTCGCTGCCCTGCAGGCTCTCTGCCGTCCGAGCAGCGCGGAGACCACCTGAAGCACCCCCAGCCCGGCAAGATGCCGCGAAAGGAATTCCCTTGCAGGCTGTGAAGCGTTTACGTGATGGGCACAACGTAACGTTGCGGAGCTCACCCTTTATTTCAGGGCGCGAGTCACGTAACAAACAGGAAGCAGAAAGTGGTGGAATGGGTTGTGCAGCCCTAGCAAAGTGTCCCGGGCATAGAGCGAGACAGTAGAATCGCAAAAGATAGAACATGCGCAAAGGTGACATCTTATTGAAGGCTGTAGTTAACAGGCACCTATTAAGCGAGGCTGTACTGTTTTTCTTACTTTTCCCCGTTTCTAACAGTTTGGAGGTGCAGCTGTCGTGATAGGGCATGCTGTGCAGCTTAGAGATGTATCAAGCAAACATCCCTGGCAGTTTTGGTGCCAGCAGAGTTCCGGTCTTTCAGTCTGTCCTTCAGCTGGAGAAGTCACTGGCAGTACAGTAGCAGCATGAGCGGGAAGTCATCCTCGATGATGGGAATCACAGTTACCTTTGGGGGTTTTTGAAGGAGCTGTGTACTTTTGTGGTCCGGCTTTTCATGTTGAAGTCCTATGATTTTTTTTTTTTTCTTCCCCAGCTGCTGTTACACCTTTGATATTTTGGGGAATGTTGCTGCTGCCGAATACCAGTTCTTGTTATTCTGTCCTACCTATTCTAGTTCTTTCTTAGCTACATCTTTTTCCCGACCCAAATGTTTCTTGTTCCTGCCTGTTACTTTCATAAAGTCATTTCTGTGCGGGACTCCCTCCCACCTGTTTTGAGGTGGATATCATTGCAGGTTGCTGGACAGATAAGTCTGCTGTTGTCACTTTTGTCAGTGGGCAGGAGTAACATTGTTAGAAGCAGCGTCTGAATTTCACCAGCTGCCAGTAGACTGAACTCCTGTGTGCGTGTCTTTTGGTGGTATGTCTCAAGGGCTGAGAGGAGGCTCGAGCAAGCTCTCTGGGAAGGAACTGTAGGGGAACTTTAAAGCTCTGGCAAATCTTTACCATGTCTATGTAAATTGTCCCTTTCAGGGTGTGTGATATAAGCGAATGTGAGTACTGATTACTTCCGTGTAATCAGTAAACAGCACACCCTTGTCAAATTTGAGATCATACTTCCAAAACAAGCCATCATTTCATTATAGAAAATCTTTTGGTTTTCCTTTAAACCAGGTAAGTGTTTCTGCATGAAAGTCCCAAGTAGATGCAGACATCCAAAAATTTTTTTGCTCTTTGTATCTCGTCATCACATTTTTGGAAAAACTGTGAAGACACTGCTTGCCAACTGGATATTGTAAAAAAATTCCTTTTTATGGAGCAGCTACTGCTCAGATGTTATTTCAGTTGTACCATTAAAGTTATTGTTTGAATGACTTTATACCTAAACAAACTGACGTGAGTTTAAATAATACTATGTGAAGTGCAAGTGCTGAGATACTAAAATATTTCAGTGATTTCTGCATGCATATAAAAGGGTCATGCCTTTAGATGCAAGTCTCTTCCTCCTTCTGCATGCTTTATCTTAAAAGCAAAAAGTTTGGAGCAAGGATTAAGCGTAAAATTACTCGCCTAAGAGTCATCAGAACACCCAAGCTATGAATACTGAAGCTACCAATTAGTCTTTCTGTAGAGGTGGGATAGCTAGTCTATAGAGCAATATGCTGTAGACCAACAATAACTGAAGCCTGAAAAAAACCTCGAGAAAGTCACATTTTTGAGTCTATTGTACGCATTATCTGGATGTGGTGGGTTTGGGAAGAAATCCTGTGGCTAACCATGCAGGAGGGAGGCAGACCCCCCAGACCCCTGCTCTGGGGGGGTCACAAGCACACCTGAAGACCAGCCAGCCAGGTTGAAATACCTGTTCTACTGGTTGAATGCCATTCCTTTGGCATAAAGCAGCTTGAGCTAATAGGATAGTTATGCTTTCTTGGCTGTACAGAAAGGAGACATCTTACTGCACTTTAGCAGTCTCCTCCATTGGAATGAATTCCATGGGGAATCTGCGGGTACAGCAAATGGTTGATTTGTTGCAGTAATGTATTTGCTGTTCCACCAAATCTCCTCTGCTGTAGCCTTTGCTGTTGTACAATTTTTTTATAACAAAGTAACTGAAATTGCTTTCCTAAATGTTTTGAAAATGCAGTTGACATTACATATCCTGAATCTAAAGTATGTCTTCTCTAAGAAAATAATTTTGTAGACTTGCTTTGAAAGATTTTCAAATTAATGCGTCAAAAGAAGCGTGGCCAACAGGTCAAGGGAGGTGATTCTGCCCCTCTACTCTGCTCTTGTGAGACCCCACCTGTGTCCAGCTTTGGAGTCCTCAACACAGGAAGGACATGGATCTGTTGGAATGGGTCCAGAGGAGGGCCATGAAGATGATCAGGGGGCTGGAGCACCTCTGCTGTGAGGACAGGTTGAGAGTTAGGGTTGTTCAGCCTGGGGAAGAAGAGGCTCCAGGGAGACGTAATAGCAGCCTTCCAGTACCTGAAGGGGGCTACAGGAGAGATGGGGAGGGACTCTTTATCAGGGAGCAACCTGGTCTGGTGGGAGATGTTCATGCCCATGGCAGGGGGGTTGATATTAGATGATCTTTAAGGTCCTTTCCAACCCAAACCATCTTATGATTCTACAATATTCTAAAACATTTGTTAGAGCAAAATATTTTGCAGTACCACTTGACAAGGTCATACTTCTTGGAAGAAATGTAAAAATGTCTGTTTTGTTAAAAAGACAATTTCTTTGTTTCTGTTCTCAGGTGATCACTGGAGGTCATTATGATGTTGACTGTCGGTTGGAAGATCCTGATGGCACTGTGTTGTACAAAGAGATGAAGAAACAATATGATAGCTTCACGTTTACTGCATCCAGAAATGGAACATACAAATTCTGCTTCAGCAATGAATTCTCTACTTTCACACACAAAACTGTGTACTTCGATTTCCAGGTTGGAGAAGATCCACCACTGTTTCCTAGTGAGAACAGAGTAACTGCACTTACCCAGGTAAAAAGCTGTTGTTTGACAGCAGCAGATAGGTGGAGGCAAAGCTTTTTTTAAGTTCAGCTACATTAGATATCTGTACCACTCTTGAAAATCAATGGATTGGAGCTTTTAAAATAATCTGAAATACTACAAATAAGCTTTCTTTCTGAAGATAGGATTTGTAGAACTCAGAGCAGAGCTGAGAAGGAATCACCAAGTGCTTAAGAGAAAATAAGAGTAGTAATTCCAACCTTAAACTCCAGGCCACTGTCTTCTTTTTTGTTGTTGTTTTGGGGTTTTTTTGTTAAGGAAGCTTCCTTTTAATGTCATGGTTCTCTGCCTCTTGAAGCGCAGATTTAACCGTAGATGTTGGCGGATCAGGGTTTTCAAAATTTCCAGACTTTGGAGAAACTTTGAGAGTTCTTTTTCTATTTAAAATTGTAGGGGTTTCGGGAGAGAACTTAAGTTGACCTCTCATGTAACTACCATTATTAAAATGGAGAAGAAACTTCTAGCAAAATGAACAAAATCAGCTGTATTTAGCTGGCTTCTGCATATTTGTCCTTTAGAAGATACTACAGAGTGTCAGAGCATTACTATTATTATTATATTCTAAGGGTTTTGCAGTTTTGCACCACCTCTACCCCATCTAAATCCATCAAAGCTTCCCTTCAAATGTTTGCTTTACGAGTTCCCACTCATGTTCTTACATTATAACCATCACCAAACCCCTCTTTAAGCAACCATTATAGAGTGCTGGGCATGGTTGCTGTTTTGCATGCCTGGGCTCAACAGAATAAATACCACTTGCCAGATGTCGATCTCACTTGAATTTACCTCACATGAGTCTGCAATAGCTGACATCTGTAATGAGTAGATGAGTTGCTATCAATTCAGCTACAGCTCTTCCTCTTTCTTCTTGTCACCCCTCTGCCTTACTTTGTACTCTGATTCCTCCTTCTGTATCTTGCCATCTTTTTTCCTTACTTTAGTCTTGATTCTGTTCAGTCTGTGTGTTCTATTACATCTGTTTTTTCTTTACCTATCTTGTCATCAGCAGAGGGATTTTGAGAACACAGAACATGTAATTCCTGGGTCTTGCATCTCTGCAGCCCCTTGCAATCTGTGAGAGAAGATAAACTATTTTTTTAATATATCACTGGGTTGTAGCATACACAATGCAAATAAGGCGTTAAGGAAATAAAAAAGTTAAGTTTCAGAGTACAACACATCTTTGGTAGGAAGGTTCTTGTTGCAGTTTGCTTCAGATTTCTGGCATGACTATATTTCGGCAGCCTTTCACAGGGACAGTAAAAGGTAAATCCCTAAAACCAGAGTGACTTTGTGTTTAATTCCCTCATGCAGACTGGGATAGCTCTATAACATCAATGAGACCAGTGGCAGAACTTAGTTTGGAAAGCCTCTTCCAGAATTTTGTTGAGTAGCATTATCTTGGAGTTGTTCAGACACCCGTCTTTAAAGTCATCAGCTTGAAAAGATGGCCCTGTCAGGATGTTAAACATGTCCTTTTATAATAGGTTGTGCAGTTAAATCTTCAGGAAATACTAGTTTTAAGGCATAAAACAGGAAAACAAACTGACTAGAAATAAGATATTTTGAAGATCTATTGATTAATCTCTTGGGTATCAAAACATAGTGAGGGGGTTTTACTTGATGAAGATAAACTGAAAGTGGAAGAAGTTTATGTGAAAAATGATCTAGGGCTTGGAAAACTGGTAATAACTTTTTAAGATGAAAAATGGCAATAAAGGTGGACAATTTAAGTCTTTATGTGATTATGTTATGGAACATTCAGAAACACTAAAAGGTAATAGAATTGTCCTTTCTTAAGCACTTTTTATGTACATGACTAAGAGAAGGGGCTCTAGCCAAAAGAACATGTTGAGTTCAGTAATGTAGATTTTTAGAATGTTGTACAACTTGAGTGGGAATTATGCAATGAAGAATGTCATACTAATGAAACACAGAAGTATTTAATTATATATTATGTGGATCTTAATGTTATAAGCAACTGTTTGTTTTCCTAGTATGTGTGGAATTAACAACAGGGAGATCACTGCCATTTCAGAAGTGTTTCTAATGTTCATTTTGAACCCAAGTAGACGTGACTTGAAGATTTGTTTAGTCATTCGTAGACCTCATTGCCTTTTATTAGATCTGCAGTTTTACACGCTTCTGTATTTAATAGTCTGTTGCATTCCTGTGTATGGAGTTTGATCAATGTAAGTTAAATTTAACTGCATTTACAGTATTTTGGTCTGAGAATGGGCTCGGGTAATCCTTAGCTGGCGAAGCTAAATGATTTTAAATACCAAACCACAAAACTTTGCAGAAAAAAAAGCCCTAGAAGGGTTCTTGATTCAGATGTGTGTGTGTGTTTGCTTCTCTAGATGGAGTCTGCGTGTGTTTCAATTCACGAAGCTTTGAAGTCCGTCATCGATTATCAGACTCACTTCCGCTTGAGGGAGGCGCAGGGCCGCAGCAGAGCGGAGGATTTAAACACCAGGGTGGCCTACTGGTCAATAGGGGAAGCCATCATTCTTCTTGTCGTTAGTATCGGGCAGGTGTTCCTCCTCAAAAGCTTCTTCTCGGATAAAAGAACCACAACAACCCGCGTTGGATCATAACTGGTAGCGGTAAAGCTTCAGGTCATTGTGTGATACTCATCTGTAAAAATTACTCTTTTTCCAATTAATTGCAGGTATAAAGGATCTGAGTATATGCAAAAGTCAAATGTGTCTACCCCGCATTCCTTAAAAATCACAAAACAGACCCAAAATGTTATGAAAGGGACACATGATCTGAACTATTTTTAAAATTCTTTGGAACTTTATGTTTGGGTTTTTTTCTGATTCCTGTATTAAATAACTGGCAGTGACCAGCCTCTCTTCACTTCTGCTGAATTTAATCCAAAGTGAGTTTGATTGTTACCAGTAAGATTACCCATCTGCAGTATAACACTTTAAAATAACCCAGCAGTCTAGTGTCTGATACAAGAGCCAATATATATGAAAATTTGATTTTAATTTTCAGGCTGAATGTATTGGATCGTAAAAAGGCAAATATGATGAACTGTAGTGCAATGTTTTGATTTGCTGTTAAAAAAGCAATCCGATGATATCCCTTGCTTATTTGTAACATTGTTGCTAGCTTGACACTACATCAGGGTGCAAATTCTCCATCAGCCTGGTAAGTCTCCACTTTCAAATATAACTAAATTTTGTACTTTAGTATATTTGCTTAAACATGCATTCTTCTATATTAATATAAATACATTTCCTCTTGTACTATGTTTGTTTCACTAAACAAATTGTAAGCTGAGACTACTCAGGAAATCCACTTTCTGTATTCAAAAATCCAAATCTCCGAGTTTATTTTAAAAACATGCAATAAAATAGGAAATCTTGTATCTTTGTCACTGAAACTGTACAGTTTCCATACTCATATGTGCTGCTGCTGCTGCCGCTTTTTGTATTTTAAGACCAGAAGTAGCTTGGTTTGTTAAGCAGCACAGCACCAGCACTGGATGAGGCTATATGGTGTGTTAGGCACATACAAAGCATTTTACTAAATTGTTTTCCTATTAAGAGGCCAATTTGATATTGATATTGCATTGCACGAGTGCTGTAAATTTTACTTTCCTGTGTGTGGTGCACTGATACTTGATGGCCTTGTGCATCTAATTGCCACTCTTTTTTGCTAGTGGTCGGGAAATGTTTAAAATATTTCAGGTTATCTTTTTTCCAGTAGAGTTATAGCCACGTTGTTCCCATTGCTCATGTCTTTAGTAGCTTATGTACTGTAAAAGTCTTGGTTTATTTGGATGGGGAAGGTAGTAAATGTATATACCTACAAGTAGCTTGAATTGAGCTGGTCCTAGTAAGGCTCATAATAAACTCTTTCAGATCACTCTGGAGGAATAAGCAGACTGACCAATTCTTCAGTGCACACAAACTAAACTAAGGTGAGAAGGTTTGTCATAAATTACTGGCTAGTTCAAAAGATGCTGCTTAAGCAAGTTCTCAGCAAGGAGAGAAAGAGCTAAACCCTTATTAATTGCCTGTATTATTTCTAGCAAAATTTTGAAATTACATGTACAGGTGACACTTGAGCAGTCTGAAGAATTGTTCTAAGATTAATCGATTTTAAAATCGTGGGATGGCTGAAAAAGATAAATAAAAGTGTGCCTACTCTCTCTTGTGAACTGAACGACTGCTTTTTTGGGCACTGAAGAAAAACCTCAAGAGAGCTCAAAAAATCATTGAAAGGGTCATGGGGGTACTCAAAAGCTTAATATCTGTAAAATGCAGGATTATATATAACATTTTTCTATCCTGTACTGAACTTTGAACACTGCAGTCCCATGTGGGGATGCAAGCTTCCCAGAAATAGTTAGACTTGCAAAGATCAGACAACAAAAACAACTAGGGCTTTTTTCTTATCGTGCAGATCTGTGCCCACACACAATATGCTTGATTGTACCTATATGCTTTATTCTTGTGTTTCAGCAGCTGATACTCAGTACTCTTTGTGCTGCATTGCACACAATAATGAAGCAAGTGGTACACTTTGGGTGCAAGTGTTGGATGAAAACATGATTTAATTTTGATAGCATCCACTATCATCTTCTGGAATTTGAAAATCACTTATGTAGCTTTAATGGCAACAAAAGCATTTGTTTTGAAGATCAAAACGTTGGAATTCTTCCCACTGAGTTGTTCTGTGTACTGTCAAAATTGTCAAACAGTGAATGGGATAAAATAGATAATGGTCAGCCATCACGTACATGCCTCTGTTTTTTCTTTCGTAATGTTTGAATGTGTGATGTGGGACTGCTCAGCTCAATATTACTCCCACTGCAGAGGTTTAGTGGACTTGACTTTTGCATTGAAAGTTAGGTATCCAACCCAGTCCTCTGGTATCCTGCTGCATAATATGCAGCAATAGCTTAAAAATGCCTTTATTTTTGTGTTATTAAATTCATGGCACAAATACACGTGTTTAAACATAGCTGTATATAGTTTTTAAAATAAGTGACTGAATAGGATATAATAAACATGCTAACACGCAGTGGGTGAAGAAATGCATTGTGACTTTTGGTTAAAGCTGCATTTTTTTAATATATGAAAACAATAGTTTGGTTAATGGTATGATACGCAAGTAAACACCACGCGTTAATGGGGATATAACTGTATTTTTAATTGCTAAAGGCCCTGGGTTTCAGCTACTCCTTGGATGTTTTATGTTTACAGAAGTTCTTTTCATGTCCTGAAATGTCAGTTCTTGTTTTAGTTTGGAGGGGGAGGGAAGTTTAGTTTGAACAAGACAAAAAGCAGACCCTGTGAATATTGTATGGGAAAATAAAAAATTAATATATGAATGTGGTCTGATTGTTTTGTTTGCATGTGGGAATGGGGAGCATTATTCTCCAAAAAAAGCTTTGAATAATGGTTTGAGTAATCAGCTTGTATTTTAACCCATTGCAATTAATCTACAGCTTGTTGCTGTACAACAAGCAGTATACCAGTTCACAGCTGGTCATAATTAGCTGTGCTTTCAGGTCACTGGAAAAACTCAAGTTTCAGCAAGATAGTGTGGTTACTGGCTCTTTGCTCAGCACATTAGCAGTGCGGGCAGTAATATTCATTAATCTGTTCCTGTTGCAGTGGAATTCAAAGTATTTGACTACAGATGCCAGGAATGATTTGGGACCTACTGCAACTTTTCACATTAATTCTGTGGATAACAAGGTTAATACGGGATGAGCTAGAGAGGTGCATCCAATTAGTGTTGTTTAATGATGGGATATAAACTTCAAATGTTGTGTAGTATCTAAATGTGATTTTATTTTGTGTAGCTTCTTGCTGAGTCTTAGCACACACCAGTTAAGTTTTAAAAACCAGATGGAGTAGGCATCTTGTGTGGGCTTCCTTCCAAATGGCTTTTTCTTCCTATTTGTGTTTTCTCCTACATCAGTTGCTGTACATTCAAAATTTTTCAAGAATATTTACAGTATTTGGATTAAAAAAAAAAAGCTTCTGTCTAGAAGCATGGGTAAGCTCTGATCTTTCAGTGATGCATTATTGTTACAGTAGTTGTCTGGGGCTATTTTGGGTACCTGGCAGCCAGGATTTAAAAGTAGCTTAGGACAAGTTATGGTCTGAAGCACTTTTCCACTGAAAGCTGATAATCTTACCAAAAAAAGATAAGGGAGGGAGGGCAGAGGGGAGAGAGGAAGGAGAGGAGCCCATGTGCTGGGTGTGGGAGGCTTGAGGAGTGCCCAGCTTGCTCCTCATGTACAAGAGGTGCTCCCTGTCCTTGGCTGCAGGTGGCCTTTGATGCCCCCAGCGTTGGTGCACAGAGCAATCTGCAGGTAGCAGCTGTAATTCACACCAGAATCCACTCACTCTTACACAGATTTACACACCCCTAATAAGGAATTCAATGAAAATTGCCCTAAGGGAAATTAGAAGGAACATTTGTCAAAGGGTGGATGGAGGTTGGAAGACCAGTAGGCTGTTACGGAAAGCGAAGGTGAAGAACAGAGTATGGTAGCAACCAGGAGTTGCTGTGAGCTGTGAAATAATCTGGCCTCACATGAAACCAGCCTTTAATCCTACCGATGCAAACACTGAATGACTCTGCAGGCCCAGTGTCATTGCTTGTCTTAAACTGACCTCAGATGGTCAGCTGCCTGATAATTCTGCATGTCCCTTTCCCTCACGGTCAAAGATGCGTAAGACATTAAAGGCCTCACTTAGTACCATACCATGCTTGCTCTTCCCTAAAACAAAAGCCCCCGAACTCTGAAAATCCATAGGGTGGAAAATGAGGCTGTGTTCCATCGCTTGTACAGATCCCTGGGCTTGGCCCTCAGTGGGTTACGCCTCATTCAGGGGAGCTGTGCAGCAAGGGGAACTTCCACCCCACCTTACAAAGAAATGCGCTTGCATTCCAAAATACAGCCATGTAGTTTGAAAAGCACTGGAAAAATAAGGTTTTTTTAGTGAAAGTATGTGACATGTCAGTCTAAATAGTGCAATTTAGTTTCCATTATAAACTGTTATTCTTTACAATATACTGGGGCAGAGCACATGACAACACATCTGAAGCAGTATATTGAAATGAAGTTCTATCTTGCCAGAATTCCCTTTTCGGAAACACCTTCCTAGAGATTACTGTACTGATTACTAGAATCAAAAACTGAAACCTCCCCTTAGTGATACCGTAAAAGCCCAAGAGCCGAAAGTTGAGTCTGTAGGCAGACAGAAGTCCTACACCCATCCCAGCCAAGAGAAGAGGGAGACACCTGTGGGTGTCCTGGAGGTCTGTAGCCCCCTGCAGGGCTGGGATGTCTGTTTCATTCCCATAATGTTTTCTCATGACCTTGTGTGCGTGCAGGACAGCTACAGAACAGGATTGCTTCTGAGCACTTGGGTGTAAGCAGTGATTTTTACCGATGCCCTCACCTGGACACTAGTGTGAAGGAGGAAGTTCACTGAACACACAGCGATGAAGAGACAGGATGAATGGCACGTGTCTGCAAGTGTAGATCAACACACTTCATGAATGCGGAGGCAGGGACGCTGCTCCCTACCTCCAGTTCATCTGAAGTGAGCATTTATTCCAGCAGGGCTCAAAGAACATCCTCCAGCCACTACAGAGGGTGCCTTCAGCACTCCAAGAGCCAATGAGTGGCCTATTATAAAACGCAAGCTCCCGAGTCTCAATGAGTGTTCCCTGGGCAGCAGGAAACAGGGAAGAGCCTTAGCAGATCTGAAATGAAGGTCCGTGATAGAAGATAAAAGGGGAAACAAGGGAATTTTGAAAGGGTCAGAGCCATCACACCCCCAAAACTTGTGCACTTGGGTAACTGTTTGGCACTGCGCTGGAAATACCAGCCCCTACACAGCTCTGCACACAGATCTGCTTCTCTATCCTGGCTTTGAGAGGAGTTTCGAGGCTGTCCTCACAGTGGACCTGCCGCTGGCCAAGGCCAAGCTGATCACCGATAGTGGTAGCACTTCTGTGAGAACATATTTAGGAAGGGGAAAAAACGTTGCTGGGCAAGAGCAATTGCAGCCAGAGAAAGGAGTGAGACTGTGTGACAGAAACAGCCCTGCAGACACCAAGGTCAGTGAAGAAGGAGGGGGAGGAGGTGCTGCAGGCACTGGAGTGGAGATTCCCCAGCAGCCTGTGGTGAAGACCTTGATGAGGCAGGCTGTCCCCCTGCAGCCCATGGAGGGCCATGGTGGAGCAGATGCCACCTTCAGCCCATGGAGGACCCCATGCTGGAGCAGGTGGATGCCCTGCCCATGGAGGACCCCATGCTGGAGCAGGTGGATGCCCTGCCCATGGAGGACCCCATGCTGGAGCAGGTGGATGCCCTGAAGGAGCCTGTGACCCCATGGAGAATGCATGCTGGAGCAGGCTCATGGAAGCACCCATGGACCAGTAGTGAGAGAAGCCCATGCTGGAACAGGTTTGCTGGCAGGAGCTGTGACCCCATGGGGGGACCCACACTGGAGCAGTTCATGAAGAGCTACAGCCTGCAGGAAGGATTCATGTTGGAGAATTTCATGGAGGACTGTCTCTTGTGTGAGGGAACCCACACTGGAGCAAGGAAAGAGAACAAGGAGGAAGGAGCATCAGAGACAACATGATGAACTCACTGCAACCTCCATTCCCTGTCCCCTTCCTCCATTTGGAGGCAGGAGACAGAGAAAACTGGCAGTGAAGTTAAGCCTGGGAAGAAGGGAGGGGTGGGAGAAAGTGCTTTTTAAGGTTTGGTTTTATTTCTCATTATCCTACTCTGATTGGTAATAAATTAAATTAATTTCCCCAAGCTGAGTCTGTTTTGCCTGTGACACCAATTGCTGAGGATCTCCCTGTCCTCATATTGACCAACAAGCCTTTTGTCATATTTTCTCTCCCTTGTCCAGCTGAGGAGGGGAGTGATAGAGCAGCTTTGGTGGGCACCTGGTGTCACCAGGTGCATGAAAAAAAGGACCCAAAAAGATGTGAAAATAGCTCATCTGACAATCAGGGAGGGGAAGCTGCAAAGAAAGGAAGAATAGAAATATCAAAGGAAGGAAAAGACTATGTACAGAACTTGACAGTAGCATTAAAAAAGAGTAAATTGATAAAATAATGAAAAAATAAATTTAGGCTGCTATTTAAAATAAATGATCTACTGAGCTTGAGTTCTGTTAATGTCAATCAAAGGAGCTGGGATGGTCTCTGACCTTGCCACCTCCAGCATTTGTCTCTGCACCCCACAGAGTGTGAGAAAGTGGGAACCTCTCCGAGATGGGCAGATGTTTGTCCTGCTGGAGGTGTCTGTACCTGTGCTGGGGGCTTCATGTGCGTGCGTGCAGAGCTCAGCTTCAGTCATCTTTGGGAGCAGTGAAGAAGGCAGGTGTGGAAGGGAGCGACCTGCCAAGGCACGGGTTTGATGATCCCTTGAGTTCCCCTGTTTCTAAGCCTTCTTGTGTTGAACAAGAAGGTGTTGGCAGCACCAGCTCCTCAGCACTGGCATCTGGCATGCTACCACATTGGAGGAGCAAGTCGTCCCAGCCATTCTCCCTGCTGCCGACGGCCTGTGGGCTTGTGGCGGTGTCATTGTGGAGAACTTTCACAAGAGGGTGCAGAGAGCTGATCTTTCTTCTGCTGTTTTCGGCGGCTGGCATGTTAACGTGGCAGTAGGAATCACGGCGGCGTGCTCCTGTGTAGATGTCTGGTTGTTGGTCTCCCAGGAAGCAGCATTTTGAAGGCTGCTGCGTAACACATACTCCTTCCTCCTTTGGCTGTGCCTCGGCATTCAGAGGAGCCCGGATACTTCCACAGGAGGTGTGAGGACAGAGACAGACACAGGCACAGAATGTGCCTGTCAATAGATCTCATCCCAGCACGATGCAGAGAAGCTGTTCCCGAGGTGAAGCGGTGTTTAGCCCCCAGGAAATGCTTTGTCAGCTTTCTGCTTGTGTCTCGGAGACACTTCGGTTTCAGAGAAGGGTGACCTGAAACCAAGAGGACGGGATCAGTTCTGACACAGGAAGGACTTTGTTAATGACAGCCTCTGTTTACATACAAACCCATCCTCACCCTCCCTCTGTGCCCTGAACTCCGTGGGAAGCAACTTCGTGCCGTGTGTTCGGGACCGCAGGAATGATTGGTTTCAGCATAAGCAGGACCCGAGGGTCAGAGCTTCTTCCACAGCTCTCTCCATTCTGCTTTGCCGGCTGCTGAGGATGCTCCAACTTCAACCTCTCTGTCCCAAGGAGCAGTTCAGCAGTCTACGTCAACGCACACACGCCTCACCAACAGTTACCAGGCTGAAGGGTGCTGGGTGTGCCAACCAGGAACGTTGGAAAAAAGACATTTGTGTGCAGTTCAACACAACGCTCCCACTTTGGGAATGTCTCCAGGCACCATTCCAAATGCAGATCGGGGTTTTGGGAAGCCTCCTGGCATGAAGTGCCTCGAGTGCCCTCCCCTGCCCCTGCAAGCGGCTGTTGCTGAAGCCAAGTAAGGAAAACCTGTGTCCATGGCAGGGAAGGAAGAGGTGACGGCTGGATTACTGCCTGCCTCCCCAAAACACAAATTAGGGATATATTTTCACAACAAGCTCCTGCCCTTTCCCCACTGCGTGCCACACACAGGGCTGTCGCTTGCACCACTACCCTCTCATCAGAGTGGGACAGGACAGCCTCCTGACCTTATCTTCTACTCACTGTTTTCTGAGCGCAGGCATTGACCTCCACTGAATGTGCACAAGCATTTGAACGTTAATTGGGTGGGGGCTGATTCCAAGGAAAGGGCTTTGGTCTGGCTGCGCAGAGTGTGAGTAACAGCCATCAGCTCTGATAATGAGTGCTAATTGTCCTCACGCCCAGCAAGAGGCCATGCCTTCCTGCAGCTGGGACAAGTGGGTGATGCAGGCAAAGAAGAGAAGGTGTTGCTAAAGAAGAAAAGACCTTGGGCAATCAAAGAAAACAGATGTGTTTTATCAGCCTGTAGATGACAAAAAGATACAAGGAACCTGAAAACTGGAGCATTCAGCTCAAACTGCAAGGTTGCTGGTTGTCACAAAGTGTTGAAAACAAAAAGTATGTGTCCTTTAGGTGAACTTAGTTCATTATAATGTGAAAACTACACCTCCAAGTCTTAAGCTATACACCTCCTTGATGAGAGCCCTGCTCACTGAGCATGTATAATAATTTAGGGATTTACAATTCCTTTAATTCGAAGCGAGAACACAAGGAGACAACAGGACCTTATTGTGAAATCATGAGCTGCCAGTGATAATTTTTGTAAATTTTTGTAAATTTTTGTAAATTTTTGTAAATTTTTGTAAACTATGACAGCTTGCGATTTATGACCCAAGCTGCTCCAGCTTTGTGGGATTTCCACCTAGCACCTGTAATGAATAACTGAAGAAGATTTGTTGCTGATCAAATCTTAGGATTATCCATTTCTGTTGTACATCGGGTAAGAAAGTCCTGACTTTGACTATAATGCTATCCAAATGTGTCTATGTAAGCGAATGTTTAGCTTTGTACTAACCAAATGCATGGAAGAGGTGGCACAAGCTGAATGTGCCACCACCACTTGGAAAACTCACCTGAAGCCGGATTGTAATTTACTGATCAAACAATTTAAGCAAGAGAAACGAGCCCATTGTGGCTCCTAACAAGAAGAGACGTCCACAATATTATAGTGCCAAACCACATGGGAATCTCCTATTTTGACAATCTAAGCTTAACCCCAATGTTATCTCTCTTTCAACTCTGTACTAATCAATCATGCAGAAGGGGAAGGGTATGAACTCATTGACAACCGCCTGGAAGCAAGACAGACCAGATGGAGTAAAGGTAACGGAGAAGCAGAGGGGCGTACTGAAGGTGTCGAACCCGACCTCCGTGAGGATAACAAGAGCTATTCAGCTGGCCTGAATTTGCCAGCCCTTGGTGGAGCTGCGACTCCCCGGCCGCCCAGCGCTGCTTTTGCTTTCCACCTTAATAAACATTTAGTGAATCTATTTTGGACTTAGTCTTTTTTTATAACAACCCCATCTAACGTAGCTTCTTTTATAACTCCTTTCCAACGCCGGGCAACTATATCAGCGGAGCCTGGAGGAGGTGTGAAGCAGCGGCCGGGGGAGCGGCGGGGGCAAGAGGGGGGTCATCAAACATGCGGACCTTATGACGCATGGCTCTTTGTAGATTCCTTGCCCCATCCTGATCTTTCCCGGTATCCGAAAAAGTTGCACACGCTTGTAATGTCACATTTTTCTCTGCTCGCATACTTGCTACTGTATCTGTAAGCAGGTTCCATAACGTCGCTAGAGGTACCAAATCCTTTTTCCCAGAGGAGATATCCTTCCATAATTCTTGTCCAAGACTATCCCATGTTGCTGTCTCGAAAATATCCTGGGCATCCCTTACTCTGCCCGTTTCTTTCGCCCATAAAAGCAATTTCTTTAAAATATCAGGGTCATATTTAAGTCCTCTCGTAGAGAGGAAATGTTGCAAAAGCTTCAAAATACCTTGCTCTTCATAGCTTAAATTATTACCCATGATGACTTATGACCCAAAACGCATTTGGCTGCTCACCTTCTTTTCCGTGGCCACGATTCTCATCTCTCGGCTGCCGGCTTCTTCTTTTTCCTCTTTTTTTTCTTCTTTTTCTTTTTCTCTTTTTCTCTTCTTCTTCTTTTTAAATCACGAACCATCAGACGCTCAACGTCTTTTCTCTCGGCCGGTTTCTTCTTAAATCACAAACTGTCAATTTCAATAAGAAATTGTGTGCTGCCCGTGGGGACCCACAGTGGGTGCCATTTGCGGCGAGACTCAGACACAGACCAATTTGATCATGCTGAAGACCACTTTATTGTTTTAACAAACTCTTTTATATCTTTCTTACAAACATGTGTCCATGTATAATTGATTCACTTAAAGTGCAACAGTTCATGATTGGATAACTTCCTCCTTCTTTGTTCTCTGCGGTAACTTCAGTCACTTTCCTCTGCTGGCTATCTGACAGGTTGTCGTGGTTTGGCCTCAGGCGGCAACAAAGGACCACGTGCAGCCGCTCACACACAACAGAGCCCTCACGGCCACGCGGCCGGGAGGGGAAGATGGGAATAAAAAGGCAAAACTCGTGGGTTGAGACAAAGGCAATTTTAACAGAACAGAACAAAGAGCAATAACAACAACAATAACAGAGGGGTATACAACCGCGATCACGATACCGCCGCTCGATACCGCCACTCACCGACCGCTCCCGGGACGCCCCCGACCACTCTACTCCTCCGGGGGTCACCGCCTCCTCCCCCCAACTTCCTGTCCCCTCCCCTTCCCGGCTAGCTCCGGCTACCCCTTGGGCATGGCTCACATGGGATGGAATACTTGTGTCCCTCCTAGGTCCTGGGGAGAATTAACGTCATCACCGCCAGACCCAGGACATCACCCCCAGGACATCCACCCCTTATTCCATACCATTTCATGCCATGCCCAGATCCTACAGTTTCCAGTTGTATACTGTCAGTTTCTCCTGACACATATATATATATACACATATAGGTATAATGTCCTTAGTCTATGGGCCATCACTCTAAAATGTCTGTTGAGTTCATTTAACCCATGACTTCAACCTCCATCTGTTAGAACAGTCTCTCAGGGCATGCAAGATGGTGTATATTGGGGCTGGACTGTTGCATGTTGTATCTTTTCTCTGGGCCTTGTGGCTGATGTATCCAGTGTAGCTCATGTCCATGGGTTGAAGATGTTGGTCTCATTGAAATTGCTGGGCGCCAGCTGCTGAGGTCAGTTCTGGTCTCTTCAAGGCTGCACCGTACTTGATTTCTCATCAGAGTCCATCAGTCATTAGTTGGGTGATTCCTACTATAGTACAACCAATAGCAGTCACCAAAGTGAGATGGCAGGGTCATTTAGCAATTAACATCATACAGTTTCATTCATTGGCTATTCTCGCCCAAAATCAGGTTCCCGTGTGGTACACACTGCACTTCCCCATCCTTCCTCATCACCCACCGAGTGCATCCGGGTCCTTGAGCAAAGGCAATTCCACGGACAGGTTTGCCTTTGCCTGAGGCAGGGCTGACCCAGACTGTCTTCCCTAACACATTCTTCATGTGCACCACAGGGACTCTATCTCCCTCCACGGTACGTGGTGGTTTAGACTGGGCAGGGCCAGCTTGGTTGCTAGATCCCCTGGTGTTAACTGGCCAGGTAGCCTTTGCTAAATGTGTATCCCAATTTTTTAAAGTCCCACCACCCATTGCTCTCAATGCAGTTTTTAACAGTCCATTGTACCGTTCTATCTTCCCAGAGGCTGGTGCATGATAGGGAATGTGGTAAACCCACTCAATACCATGCTCTTTGGCCCAGGTGTCAATGAGACTGTTTCGGAAATGAGTCCTGTTGTCCGACTCAATTCTCTCTGGGGTGCCATGTCGCCACAGAACTTGCTTTTCGAGGCCCAGGATGGTGTTCCGGGTGGTGGCATGGGGCACAGGGTATGTTTCCAGCCATCCAGTGGTTGCTTCCACCATTGTGAGCACATGGCACTTGCCTTGACGGGTCTGTGGAAGTGTAATATAATCAATCTGCCAGGCCTCCCCATATTTGTATTTCAGCCATCATCCTCCATACCAAAGGGGCTTTAATCGCTTGGCTTGCTTGATTGCAGCACATGTCTCACATTCATGGATGACCTGTGCAATAGTGTCCATGGTCAAATCCACCCCTTGGTCCCGAGCCCATCTATACGTAGCGTCTCTCCCTTGATGGCCTGAAGAGTCATGGGCCCATCGAGCTAAGAATAATTCGCCCTTATGTTGCCAGTCCAGATCCACCTGAGCCACTTCAATCTTGGCAGCCCGATCCACTTGCTGGTTATTCTGATGTTCCTCAGTGGCCCGGCTCTTGGGTACATGGGCATCTACATGACGTACTTTCACAACCAGATTCTCTACCCGGGCAGCGATATCTTGCCACAATTCCGCAGCCCAGACAGGTTTGCCTCTGCGCTGCCAATTCTGCTGCTTCCACTGCTGTAACCACCCCCACAAAGCATTTGCCACGGGCCCATCGAGCTAAGAATAATTCGCCCTTATGTTGCCAGTCCAGATCCACCTGAGCCACTTCAATCTTGGCAGCCCGATCCACTTGCTGGTTATTCTGATGTTCCTCAGTGGCCCGGCTCTTGGGTACATGGGCATCTACATGACGTACTTTCACAACCAGATTCTCTACCCGGGCAGCGATATCTTGCCACAATTCCGCAGCCCAGACAGGTTTGCCTCTGCGCTGCCAATTCTGCTGCTTCCACTGCTGTAACCACCCCCACAAAGCATTTGCCACCATCCATGAATCGGTGTAGAGATAAAGTACCGGCCATTTTTCCCGCTCGGCAATGTCCAAAGCCAGCTGAATTGCTTTCACCTCTGCAAATTGGCTTGATTCACCTTGTCCTTCAGTGGCTTCTGCAACTTGTCTTGTAGGACTCCACACAGCAGCCTTCCACTTCCTATGCTTTCCCACAATCCGGCAGGACCCATCAGTGAACAGGGCATATCTCCTCTCATCATCTGGTAGTTCATTATATGGTGGAGCCTCTTCTGCACGCATCACCTCCTCCTCCGGTGACATTCCAAAATCCTTGCCTTCTGGCCAGTCCATAATCACCTCTAGAATTCCTGGGCAACTGGGGTTTCCCATTCGAGTTCGCTGAGTGATCAGTGCAATCCACTTACTCCATATAGCATCCGTTGCATGATGTGTGGTAGGGACCCTTTCTTTGAACATCCAACCCAGCACTGGCAGCCGAGGTGCTAAGAGGAGCTGTGCTTCTGTACCAACCACTTCTGAAGCAGCTCGAACCCCTTCATATGCTGCCAGTATCTCCTTTTCTGTTGGAGTATAGCGGGCTTCGGATCCTCTGTGTCCCCAACTCCAAAACCCTAGGGGTTGACCATGTGTCTCCCCTGGGGCTTTCTGCCACAGGGTCCAGGTAGGGCCGTTCTCCCCAGCTGTG